TGTAATCACATCATCATAACTCAAACTAGTCTGATGAAGTCCAAAAGGATGAAACAAGTCACACAAAACTTTTTCCACTTTATCATACATCCTTCCCATAAAATTGTGCATGATATATATAAAAAAATTTATATATTGTATATAGGGGTGGAGCAGAATTACCCTCTCTTCCAGCTTACAAGACACGTTATTTTTCATAAAAATTACCCTGAAAAATATGTGTGCATCTTTCAAGACGAATGTAAGGCAATGCACTGGCTCAAGTAATCTTGGACAGTCACCTAATTGGTTTGACTGATAGGGGTGTGTATTTATATGTTGAATCATTACACTATAATGTTAGCTATCTTATGCAGCCTTTTATATGATGTAACCTCAGTACTTAGCTGTTACAGATATTTCCAAGACTTAAGTTTAAAAATGCTCTATTTACTAGCAGCGACAGAAGTTTCTGCTCTTGACTAGTATGTCATTGCCATACAAACAAAATTGGACGAGTGATTAATGCAAACAATACGTGGCGCCAGTATGTGAGGGACATATGGTAAATGTGTTGTTTTTTTTTTTCTTGAAATTTCTTTCTAATATTAGGGTGCATTTTTCAAGCCACATTGTCTTGTAAGCCGGAAAATACGGTATATCATACTTATCATAAAACCCAGGTTGTGTGTGTCTGTGTTCATTTATATATTGGATCGGATTTCCTACATTTTTCAACCGATTTCAACAAAACTTCACAGAACTACGTAAAATTACCTTGCGGTGGTTCTGACAGCACCAAAAATTGGAAAAACACAATTGTTTTTGCATGAAATCAATTTGAAAACACTGTCGTGAGAATGAAAGGGGGACAACTCATATCAAGTTATACTTATAAAAACCCAGGTTGCTTGTGTGTGTGTTCGTTTATGTATGGGATCAGATTTCCTACATTTTTCAACCGATTTCAACAAAACTTCACTTTTTTTTTGGCAGGTAGTGATTCTTATTGTCTTGCACACTTTTTTCTTTATTTTTACATTCAGAATGCTTTAAAAATTCCATTTTCAAGACAATTGTTTATAATAAAATTCTATTCGATCAGTAGACTCATAACGATTGAAAACAATGCTTTTGTTTGAGTTTGGGTTTGACCAATTCATAAAAAAAAAAAAAAAAGACAAACAAAAAACAAAAAAAAAAACTAATTAAGACATGCATGTCCGTCAACCTTAAACAATAATCTTTGTCAATTTTATTTTTCAATCTTTATGATGGTCAATACTTGATCTATCTCTTACTGTTACATCCCCGGGCAATGCCGGGCTCTACTGCTAGTATTGTATATAGGGGTGAAAACAGAAATTCAAAAAATGCTAATTACAATTTTACATTAAAAACTCAGGGCTGCTTAGTTTCAAATTTAAATTTTTACCTTTTTGATGTCCAGTGTATCTAGTTGTATAATGTAACTGATTTAATTCAGCTTTTCTATCACTTTTATTATTATTATTATTATTATTATTAATTTTATCATTTTTGACTGTAAATATCATATAATCTTTTAATAGTCCTTTCTTCTTTCTTTCCTTTACTACCTTATCTGAGAGATCTTTCAATTTCCCTTCTGAGTTTGCTATCAACAGGAGGTAATCATAATGGAGAATATCATTTGCTTGAAAACAGGCTTCACGAAAACCATTAAAATTGAATCTTCACTTTGTCAAGTGGTTCATTTCACTAAAAAAAAAAAGTTAGAAAATTAAAGGGAGATAAATAAAAAATTGAATTTTCAAAAACGGGTAAAATGCAGAAATACAAACCTATTTAAATATTTGTTCTTTCCAAAGTACATTTGAAATAAATTAAATATTTAAAAAGATCTGTATTAATTCATACTTTTTTTTTATTTTGATTCAAAATTTATATTTTAATCATTTTTTTTTATTTATATTTTATTTTTGTTGCCCATTAAAAATATCATTTTACTGGCTTTAACTGATTTCAGCATTAAATAATCCTCTTAAACAAATCTAATGACATGTTATCAACCATTCATTATAATAAATAAGCAATCATCAAATTAACAACTTACTTTTAAACAACACACTTTTCCACTACCGTAACGTACATTCCCCATGCTTTTTCTATAAATATTTCCATGGTGATCGTTCTGATGAGCTTTCGTCTTTAGTATCTAAGCTTTATGAATTTAAGCACAGTACTTGATTGGAAATAATGTCTCATCATTTTACACTTGTAACCATAAGTTCTATACTAACAGTTTTTTCTCTCACAATTCTTGCTTGTGGAACTCGCTTTCAGCTTCTTGCTTTCCAGTCAACTTTGATCTTCAAAAATTTAAATGCAGTGTCAATCATTATCTTCTGTCTTAATTCTTATTCTTTTATTGTTCTCTCTCTTTAATAGTATATTTTTCTCATATTCTCTACCACTTAGTAACCCCTTATGTCTTAGTGGCCTTATTGCCTTGCTTGGGGTAAAATGATTAAAAAAAAAATTACATTTTAAGAAAAGAAAGCATTCAGATATATCTGTTATCTCCCTTTAATTTTGTACGTTTGGATTTTTTGTGAAATGAACTTGTCACTGAAGTGAATATTCAATTTAATAGATTTGGTAAAGTCTATTTTCGGATAAGTGATATTCACCATGGAAAATAACCACTCACAAGGCCAAATAAACTCTTTTCAACTCTTATTTATACTAGAAACAGAATTGTGCAGCTCCAAGACAGATATGGTAGCAATACTCCATTTTTGGTCTGAGTCCTGTAATAGGGTCACTGAGCCAACAAATGTTCTGCAGCATTTGTCTGTCTAGTCTGGTTTGGTTTGTTTTACGACATATCAACCTCAATGGTTTATTTAATGCCAACAAGATTTTTATTGATGGTAATATTTTTTCAAAAATGTACTGCTGGTATATTTATTTTTTTTTTTTCAAAAATATATTGCTAGTAATAATTTTTCCAGAAAAGTATTGATGGTATTAAAACCTATTTTTATACTTTCATAGTGTTTTGACCCCTTTTGGGAGGTTAACTATTTTCCCATAGCTGGGACTCTGACAGGTGCCACCACCCCAGGTCAGGGTGGAACTGGAAACACCAGCAATTAAGAAGTGTTTCCATGCACCCCAAAACCTTCTGATCAAAGGCCTTGCTGTTGGACATAGTTTATTGCCTTATCCAGGACGCAGATGTAGTTTAGTGTCATACCCTGGACGGGTTGTCTGTCTAGGGCAGAGCTATGGAATTTAAAAAGTTGTAGGGTCGGTATATGGAAACAAAGAAGGAACATACAAAAACTTGGGTTTCTACCACAGTTTCTGTTTTTCATATAAATTGTAGTAAAACAAAGTTCTCAGTGTCAAAAATATAAGCATTGTATTAATGATCAAGCTCAAGTCAGCCTTGCACAAGATTTGTAAGTAAGTATAAGCATTGTTACAATGGTTGCACTCAAGTGAGCCTTGCACAGATTTGGAACAACCAAAGATAAAACTCGACGTTCTTTATCATTAGAAGGTTTAAGTCATGTGAATTTGAAAGTAGAAAGAGAGTCAGTCATCAGTGGAGTGGGGGAAACTAATGTGCCTCAACGGGACCGTTCATTATCCATGTACTGCTACATTTTGGAGCAAGGAGGAGAGACAGGGTGAAGCAGGAAAATCTTTTTATAGACTTCACCAGTGCTGTCTAATGGCTTTTGTTGAAGCCAAGTGGGATAACCAGTTCCTTTACACTTAGCATAATGGGAAAATGCACTTCTTTTCTTCTTTTTTTTTATGATTTTATTTATCGATTTTGTTTTATTTTCCCACAGAGCCCATACCTCTATGAAAGGAGTGTGTTTAGGGCAAGATAACTTGACAAGGCCCATCTGTCTTCAGGCTAGTTTTGAATTTAGTTTTCCTTTTCTTAGACTGGTTGACACACAAGGCAAGAGAGACTAGTCAGTCCTGCTTTTTACCCCATAGCTGGGAAGAGAAGCAATAGAGCCATATCTTTTATAACACTGGAATTTAATTTCTCTTTGCAAATTTCTAACCATTACATTACCCTCAAGTTAAGCAACATTGAGCCTGGTCAGTACCTAGATGGGTGACTGCGTGGGAATAACAGGTGCTGTAAGCTTGGGTGTGCAGAGGTGTCATGGATAACAGCTCGGAACTGGATATTAGAGAGCAGAGTTCCAAGTCCAGTCATATTCATTACATACAAATATATACAAATACCCTTGAAAAAAGGGATGAATCTGTCTTTTGTTCCCCCACATATGGATTAATTAGTAGGACTTGTATCAGTAAATCACTATTATCCACCCAAAATTCTTACAATCTAAAAATATTTTCTAGCTTTAAATAACCTGCAAAAGGTTAATAAGATTAAAAAACAAATTTATCAATCCTTGTTATGGTTATTTACTTAGCTGTGGCACAAGGCCGAAAGTATTGAGCACCCAATGAAACAACAGTAAGCTGCAATTATTGCTTAACGTCCTTTTTTGTTTAGTTGTCAGGTTATTCAAGTCAGTGTATTTGGTTCAAGAGATATTCAAAACAGAGCATCCTTTTCAAATAGACCTAGCACAGAAAGAGACATTTTGAATTTCTAGGATACATAGCAAGGAAAGAGGGCTTGGGAAATTTGACACTCACAGGATATATTGAAAGCAAGCTTATGTAAATAGTTGGCAGAACAGGGATTAAGAGAGATAGCAAAAAACAGGAAGTTGTGGAGAGTCATGATCACCTACATTCTGATATGGGCTTGTGTTTATTACTATATTAACCACAGTGTTTTCTGGTTTTTTTTCCTTCTTGCCATTTATTTCTATATAGAAGTCATTCTTCTTTTTTTCTTACCATTTGTACACCTGATAAAGTCTATTAAAAGAATTGGCTGAAGCATTGCAGTAAATATGAAAAGCAAGACAAAAGTATTGGTTCAAACAACTCTTTGAACAATGTTTGAATTTGCATTTTTTTTCTTCCAGAAACCAAAGAGATTGTTGCTGAGATGAAAGGTCACCAGACAGCCATAAACCGTATTTCTGTCCACATGAGTGGACGCTATGGTATTACTACATCCATTGATGATGCTATCCTCTGGGACCTTGAAAAATTTGAACGACTGAAAAAACTGAACATTAACGAAAACATTGACATTACAGAGGTAATTATATTTTTGTTATCATATCACCCCTAGTGACGCAATAAAGCCACTAAGACACAAGATGTTACTGAATGCTAGAGAATATGAAAAAAAAAAATACTATTAAGAAGAGAGAAAAATAAATGAACATGAATTAATAAGACAGAATATTGTTGTATCCTTAAGGAAGTTACAAACAGACAAAGCTGGTACTCGAGTGAAAGGAACAGCAACACACGTGTAGATGAAAGAAAAGGAGGTTTATTGTAAAAGAGAATATACTACTGAAAAGCAGGGAATCGAGTGGCAGGCTAGTAATTCCCGAAGCAAGCCCCCAGGTATAGCCTATGCTCACTATATATAGCTACTGATATAGTTAGTCCACATAGGCGATAGGGAGTGTGGGACATTCCATTACAATAAATATAATGATTGACACTGCATTTAAATTTTTGAAAATCAAAGTTGATTGGGAATGAAGAGAGTTCCACAAACAAGAATTGTGAGAGAAGAAACTGTTAGCATAGAGATGTGGTTACATCTAGAAGGATCTGTGACTGATTGTAATCAATCCTGACCTGGCACCTTGACTTCAGTCACTTTCTCACTAACTTAATATGGCTTCCCTCTGTCTTTTCTACAAATATTTTCATGGTGATTGCTCTGATGAGCTTTTTTCCACTTTGTTCCCACAACTGCACAAATTTAAATGTGCTACCAGGTCCCACTGTTTTACTGCCAAAATAGCTAAATGCAACCACCACTTCTCCTTCTACAGTTTCTTTTCTCGCACTTCCCACATGTGGAACTCCCTACCAATTTCTTGCTTCCCTGAAACTACAATCTTTAAAAATTTAAATACAATGTCAATCGCCATCTTCTGTCTTCTTGAATTCACTTCATCCTTTCTCCTTTCCTCAGTCCTCCCTATTCTCTGTCTTCTCTTTCACTTTCACTGTCTGTAACCCCCTGTATACTAGTGGCATTACCCCCTTGCTTGGGGGTGAAATGATTTTTAAAAAAAAAAAAAAGTATTCTCAAGCTGTGGCTCTAGATATCTCAAAGTCATTTGACAGGGTTTAGAAGGCTGGTCTTTTACATACGCTTCAGGGCTACAGTATTACAGGATCCAATCTTTCCTTTGAAATCGTGAAATGAAGGTCGTTCTGAATGGGCTTGCTTCCAGATTCTTTTATATGAACGCAGGTGTTCCCCAAGGCTCTATCCTGAGTCCTATGCTGTTTCTGATCTTCATCAATGATCTCCCTGATGTCATCAGTTCCCAAGTATCCATCTATGCAGATGACACTACCATTTACTCTTGTCTCAATAGTAAATCCGTCAGCACTGACAAAGTTAACCTGGCTGCTCTCATAAAGGAGGGACAAGAAATGGCTTGTAAATTTTAATGCCTCTAAGACTAAACTGCTTTCATTTAAGCACCACAGAGAAACTTCCCTGCATGGTTGATGCTTGACTCCAGGAGAGCGTCTCACTGCACCTTCTTGGCCTCGTGTTTCTGACTGACTTGAAGTGGTCAACTACATTGAATCCATAGTTGCATCTACTGCAAGGAAAGTTGGTTCACTGTGGCATGCCAGAAGGTTTTTCTCGTCTGTCTTACACATCTACAAATCTACCATTTGTCCGTGCATTGAATACTGTTGCCATATCTGGTCTTGTACCCCTGCTGTTCATCTCCAGGTTCTTGAAAAAATCAAAAGAAGGATCTGCAATATAATTGGTCCTGACTTGGCATTTCAACTTCAGTCACTTTTTCACGTACATGATGTGGCTTCTCTCTGTCTTTTTTACAAATATTTTCATGGCAACTGATCTGGTGAGCAACAGTTTCTTTTCTCGCACTTCCTAACAGTGGAACTCCCTTCCTCTTACTTGCTCCCCTGATAACTACAATCTTCCAAAATTTAAATGCAATGTCAACCACCATCTTCTGCTTACTTGAACTCCATTCATCTTTCATTCTTTCTTCAGTCCGCATTCTGGGTATGACGATAAACTACATCCACGTTCTGGGGAATATGATAAACTATGTCCAACTGCAAGGCCTCTGATCAGGAGGTTTTGAGGAACGTGGAACCACCTTTTAATTGCTGGTGTTCCCAGGTCCACCCTGACTCAGAGTGGTAGCACTTGTTAGGGTCCCAGCTATGGGAAAATAGTTAACCCCGAAACAGGTGTAAATACACTATGAAGGTATAAAAATAGGTTTTGATACCAGCAGTACTTTTTTGTAAAAAAATTATTAGAAGCAATACATGTTTGAAGAAAAAATATTACTAGCAATACCTTTTTTGGAAAAATACTATCAACAATAAAAATTCTTGTTGGCATTAAATAACCTGTTGAGGTTGATATGCTGTAAACCAAACCAAACCTTTCTTCAATCCACCCCCCCCCCATACCCAGTCTTTTCTTTCACGTTCACTAACTCCCTGCTAACTAGTGGCACCCCTGTCTTGTTTGGGGGGGAATTCCTTAAAAAACAAAATATAATATTGCACTGATTGCAAGATAGTAATGAAAACAATAAAGATGAGGATACTCTTCAGACAAATTCATGGAATAAAGCCAGTGATTTATGTCGGAGCATTATAGTGGATATTGATCATTGATGATTTTTAATTATTTTTTTCTTTCTTTTTGGGCAGATATTATTTGCCTGAGACAATGAAATGAATTATTTTACTGCTAATACTCAGTTAAGACATTCGTCAATAGTTTCATAATTTCTTTAAGCCATTATATCTTCTGTTCTTTCTCCCAACAAATTAGTTTGAAGATTTATAAAAGCAACAAAGACATGCACCCTGGCCTGAAATATTTTTGGAAGACTATATCATAAAAGAAGTGATGATTCTCTGTCTGCTGTACACTATCTGCACGTGGCTTTGCATATGTGTGTATTTAATGTATATGGGTATATCTGCATTGTGTATTTCTTTGTGCCATTTAATGTATGTAAACACACATAGACATAGAATTTGACTGAGTTTGAAATAAAACATTGGAATAATACATTCTTTTCAACACTCAGTCTGGACAACACCTACCCTGGATTGAGTAATAAAATCATCACATTTGTGGAAGGAAAAAAAAAGTTAATTTTTTTTTAAACCCTTAAAATAATGAGATAAGATTTTATAGAACTTTTCATAAATTATTCGGTAATAAATAAAATTATTTTTTAATGATTTTTTTTTCTTTTTTTTTTCTTTTTTGTAGCCCTATTTTTAAGTCTGTCATTGAATTAAAATATAAATGCATGTACACATACACGTAGACACACAATCTGAATTAAATTGAAATAGACATCTGTGTTGGGAGGGCTAATTTTCATTTTGTCTTGCAACAAACCCTGGGTAACAGGATAGAAAATTATAAGCCAGTGCTTTGAAATTATTTCTGTAACTACTTCTGTATTTAATGTTACATTAATTACATGCAATTATATTTGGAGGCATGAATCCATCACTTCCCTGACCTAGCATTGAGTTAAATAGAAAAAATTGTTAAGGCAATAGTCACTTGCGAAAAAAAAAATCAGTTTCAGCCAGACCAGGAAGAGGTCCAGTTACTTCTGGACCCATGTGAACTCAATAAGATCATCAATACAGTTCAAGATGGAGAGGGAAATTGACAACAAACTGGCATTCCTGAATGTGCTCATATCTCAAACAGAGCATGGGTTCAAGACATCCGCATACCACAAACCAACATTGAGGCGAATGAAGAAAACAGTAACCAGCGAGTAAATTCAAGCTCACTCAGCTGGTATTTCAAACTTGAGTCGTTCCTTCTTGAGTTCTGTCTCCAAATCACACTAACTGCCCGTTCTAGCCGTCAACCGTGAACGTCCCTCGAAGAACTCGCCGACTTGGAAAAAAGTAGTTGTTTTTATAGTTGTTCATGTACCCATAATCCCTTGCATCTTCCTGTGATCCCATAATTCATTGCGTCCATGTCCCATAATGCATTGCGTCCTTATTGGATAAAAATGCGATGCCAGTCCCCCCTCATTCTTTTATGTTATCTGGCCGAGGATGGATTACGGCAGAGCGGTAAGTGCTTTTTTTTCTCTCCCTCATTTCAACTGCAGTAGCTTTACATGCTAAGCAAATACGGGCCCTTTTTTGGCGGGGACAAGGCAAGTCGCGACTAGTTGTGCTCGTCCCAGGTTCTGTCTCATGTCCGCCACAAACATTCACTGGATAATATATCAACTTCAATTCCTACTACCCATACAGTGTAAAGAAAGAGATCATTCACTGCTTACAACATGTTTGTTCACTGTTGATCTGTGTTCAAACTCCAGTGTCGGCAATGACACTTTATCCCTATGCAACAAACTCATCAGCAGTTGCCATGAAAATATCTGTAGAAAAGATAGAAGCCATGCCACGTCAGTGAGAAAGTGACTAAGATCAAGATGCCAGGTCAAGATCGATTAAATTGCAGAAGCATCTTTAAATTTTGTCAAGAATATCGAGATAAGCAGTAGGCACACCAGACCAGATATGGCAGCAGTATTCAATGCACAAACAAATGGTAGATTTATAAATGGGCAAGATGGATTCTGATGAGAAGAATTGTCTCATTTAAAACTTTTGGCAGCTATAACAATCATTTTAAGATTCATAGAAATAATAAAGAAACAATGAGTAATAAAAAAAAAAAAATAGAACCCTGTAGCTGAGATATGTAGACAACACCTTCATATTTTGGCCACACCAGGAAGAGCTCCAGTTACTTCTGGACCATGTGAACTGAATAAGATCCTTGATACAGTTCAAAATGTAGAGAGAAATCAACTACAAACTTGCATTCCTGAATGTACTAATATCTCGAACAGAGCATGGGTTCAAGACAAGAGCTAATAAACTGTAAAAAGTAATTCAATCAATTCTGTATTTAGAGTAAATATATTTCCTAATAAATGTATTTTATTTAAATGGAAAAACAATTTTTTTTTTTTAAGTGTTTCACCCCAAGCAAGGCAGGAAGCCACTAGCATGCAAGGGGTTACAGAGAATTGGAGTGACTCCAAATAGGAGTGATAGAGGAAAGGATGAAGAGAAGGATAGGGGATAGATCAAGGCATCTGGAGATGTCGGTTGACATTAAATTTGAATAGTTGGAGATTATAACTATAAGGGAAACAGGAAAAGGGGAGGGAGTTCCACAGGCGAGAGGTGCGAGACATGAAGCTATTGGCATAGAAGAGACGGCTACATTTAACAGTTTCAACAGTGAAAGGGTGAGAGCAAGATGCCAGCCTAGTAGAACGCTTAAATTCATGAAGTCTGGGAACCAGCGAAAGCAGCTCATCGGAGCAGTTACCATGAAAGTATTTGTAAAAAAGACAGAGGGAGGCGTTTGCACGTCTGTGAGAGAGTGACTGCAGACGAGATGCCAATCAGGGCCAATTACATTGCATATCTGTCTGTGGATCTTATCAAGAACCTTGAGACAAACAGAAGGGGCACCAGACCATATATGGCAGCAATACTCCATGCAAGGGTGAATGGTTGATTTGTAGATTTGAAGGATCGACTTCAGCGAGAAAAATTTCCTGGTGCGGCACAGGGAGCCAACTTTCCTTGCAGTGGACGAAGCTATTGACTCAATGTATTTGTTGCATCTCAGGTCAGCAATCAATGTGAGACTGAGTAGTCGCAAAGAGGAACTCTTGAGAAGTTGGGTGACCATCTTACCATCAGTGAAATGATATGTACCAAACTAGTCTCATAAATGCTGGTTCAAATAAATGACCTCTGTATTTAACCTTTAGCATGCTGGAGGCAAAAATTGTCACCATAGAATTCTATCGTGTCAAAGATTAAACTGAATATATTTTCAAATAAATGTGTTTTAAATGGACAAATAATTTAGATTTTAAATTTGATCATTTTGACATCAATGAAGTAATTGTTGAACTCTTTCTTTTTGTTGCTTTTACCATTATTCCTATGTTTCGGATGGTCTATATACTATGCATACCTTCTTCAGGTATACAAACATTCATTTTATAAATCTGATTACCACTCCAAAAATTTGTTCAGATTATTGCTTTTACACCTCTTTATTTTCACTATGGTTGATGCTCTTCAGAATATGAAGCCAGCTTAAAAATCAATATTTAAAAATTTTCAAATTTAAATTTTTCAACAAAGTCAGTGAACAGTATTAGAAGACTTCATTGCATCTATAGCTGTATTTCTTTATAACTATACTTTTATCATGTTTGGCACAAAGCCAAAAATCTGGAGTACCCTAGGAAAATCAAATTCATTTCTTGTTTTTGTAACACATTGTCTTCTTTTGATTATTTTTCAGGTTTTCTTTCTTCCTTTAAGCAACATCATCTTGACGTGCTTCAAGGATGACTCAATTTTTGGCTGGGAGCTGGACTCGCTTACCTGTAAATTTGAACTTCCAATCCCTGCTGGCAAGAAGCCCCGGTACAGGACGCTTGTATCAAGCAGGTAGGCTCATCTGAGCAAATTTGTTTCATTTACATGTCTCATATTGCAAATTATCATTTTTTTTTGTTTTACCCCAAGCAAGGCAACAGTGCCACTAAGACACAGGGTATTGTAGGGAGTTAAATAGCATGAGAAGACTTTAGTGAGGCAGTGAAGAAAAGGACAATAAAGGAACGGGCTTCAGGAAGTCAGAAGATGGTGATTGATTTTGCATTTGAATATTTGAAGATTGTAGTTGGCAGGGAAGCAAGAAATCAGAAGGGAGTTTCACAGACAAGAAGTGTTAGAAAAAAAACTATTAGAATAGAAGAGAGAGGTTCATTTAGCTAGTTCAACAGTAAAACAGACCTAATTGCCAATCTAGTCTTCTTTCTTCTTTTCTGTGCCAAGTACCTTCAGGACATAGACAATCATAGCCCTTCACATCTTCCTGTCTCTTGTAGCTCTTAATAAAATTTGTCTTTTGTTATTTCTCCCAAACCCACCATCCATTTGCTCAAGCCCATCAAGTATGTTACGTACTACTTTCTTCTGTCCTGAAATCTGTCCTTCCTCATTACATGCCCCAAAATTGTCAACTGCCTCTTCCTGATGTTAAATACAAGTTTCCTTTCTCATCATTACTCACATGTTGTGTCTATGGTATCTTCAGCATCTTTCTGTAGAACCACATTTCTGTTGTTTCTCGTCTCTTCTTCATCTTTCTGATTGTCCAGCATTTGCTGCCATACAGGACAAATATCACATAACAATTGTAGCGATATGTGTCAGTTGAGATTTTGTCAAATTGAAAAGTAGGACCTGTAGCAAAACTCACTATGGAACATTTACTTTTGACTGCTGGTTATTAGTAAGTGAAGTCAACTTCAAAGTATAGAGCAAGAGACTCAGACGGAGAGAAAGTCATGGAAGGAAGATGAATTACTTTTTTAGATGAAGATGACAAAACTAAGAAAATTCAGTATCTGTCTATATTTCTGAGATGAGGTATTATGTACACTATTTACATTATTTGAACTATTGTCTTCATCTTTGTTGCCATATTTATCACATTTCAGCCGTTTCTTCAGGTGGTTGGAATGTTGAACTGAATCCTTTATTTCACTCACTGGTGTAGACTGTTCTAGTTCCACATGCCATGTCTAATGGATGTCAGTTATCAGTTATCTCCTGTTAGTTCCCTTCTCCAAATTCTCCACCGCCTTAACCAGGTATTGAACTCATAGTCTTTGGGTCCTGTAACTGGATCCACTGTGCCATTTGTCCTTGAGTGGATAAAGGTGTTAGTTAAATTCAGTGACAGGACCCAAAGAGTGTCAGTGCAATACCTGGTTATGGTGGTGGAGAACTTAGAGAGAGGAATAACAGGAGATAACTGATAACTGACATCCATTAGACATGGCATGTGGAACTAGAACAGTCTACCCCAGCGAGCAAAATAAAGGGTTCAGTTCAACATTCCAACCAACTGAAGAAGGCTGGAGCATACAACAGCTGAAATGTTATGATAAATATGGCAACAAAGATGAGGATGACAGTCTGAGAAATGTAAATAGTGTACAAAGAAAATTGTTATCTATAAAACTGACCATTTCCATGAAATGTACACAGAAGGACAAAGTGAGCCTTAGAAAACGGACAGGGAAAACAGCCATTGAACTGTGCACCTCCCTCCTCATTTACACCTCATCTCTACTTTGCTCGCTTATATCAGTAGCTTACAACCCAAGAATAAGATTTGGTTTACTGTGAGAAATTGTTTTGTTCTTTACTGTTGAATAACTATTTGGCTGAATGGTAATTTTTAAACAAAATGAATTTGACTGGAAGAATCTGCACCCTGTCAACAAACCTGGTGTCTGATCTGAGCTGCAACATAACACAGTTCGGTACTCTTTTCTTTATTTCTAACAAAATTTTTCTGTTTCTTAATACTCTGCTTAGCTTTTGGAATGCATCTTTGGCCATCCCAATACGTCTTCAGATCTCAGTGTCACCAATCTAGTAGCATGCTTAAGTTCATGCAGTCGAGGCACCAAGGAAAAGAAATCTTTTGTGATGTCAGACACCTTCGCATTGTCACTTTTGAGATGTCAATGAATGCTCATTATCACATTTATAATGCTCCTTGTAGTCAAGACTTTGGAATTGCAGATGCTAGTAGTAACTCCTTTGAATAATACTTGCACTAGTAATACTTGTTCGAATAGGAACCGCCGAATAGTAATCCAAAGAGTAATTAGTATAGAGAAATACTATAGAGGATAGTATAGAGAATAGCGATCACTTATACGCCATGTGAATTCCCATATACACCTTTCCTTTATGATCACGTTGTCTACTTATTAGAAATCGAATCACCTGTGTTTGCTCACTATTGAAATTGACAACAAACTGGCATTCCTGAATGTGCTCATATCTCAAACAGAGCATGGGTTCAAGACATCCGCATACCACAAGCCAACATTCACTGGACAATACATCAACTTCAATTCCCACTACACATACAGTGTAAAGAAAGAGATCATTCACAGCTTACAACATGTTTGTTCACTGTTGATCTGTGTTCAATCTTCAGTGTCGGCAATGACACTTTATCCCTATGCAACAAACTCATCAGCAGTTGCCATGAAAATATCTGTAGAAAAAGATAGAAGCCATGCCACGTAAGTGAGAAAATGACTAAAGTCAAGATGCCAGCTCAAGATTGATTAAATTGCAGAACCTTCTTTAAATTTTGTCAAGAATATCAAGATAAGCAGTAGGCACACCAGACCAGATATGGCAGCAGTATTCAATGCACAAACAAATGGTAGATTTATAAATGGGCAAGATGGATTTTGATGAGAAGAATTGTCTCATTTAAAACTTTTGGCAGCTATAACAATCATTTTAAGATTCATAGAAATAATAAAGAAACAATGAGTAATAAAAAAAAAAAAGAACCCTCTGGTTAAGATACGTAGATAAAATCTTCATACTTTGGCCAAGCCAGGAAGAGGTCCTGCTATTTCTGGACCATGTGAACTCAATAAGGTCATCGATACAGTTCAAAATGTAGAGAGAAATCAACAACAAACTCCCATTCCTGGATATTCTAATATCTCAAACAGAGCATGGGGGTCAAGACATCTGCATACCGCAAGCCAACGTTCACTGGAAAATACATCAACTTCAATTCCTACCACCGATACAGTGTAAAGAAAGGGAACTTCCACTGATTACAACATCGAGCAAAAGTCATAAGTGTTGACCCAGAGACATATGATCAAGAGATGATTACTATAAGCAGTATACTACAATGTAACAACTACCCTGGGTACATGGTAGCAGCTCTGACAAACTGGGATAGAAGGTACAAGAGGATAACGACACTCGGAAAACAGCTTCAGTCTGCCTACCCTATGTGAAAGGATTATCAGAAAAAATACAAAAGATCTGTGGTCCATATAACATCAGGACAACCTTCAAAAGTGGTTCAACATTTGGCAGACACCTCTTCTGAGTAAGACCCTCCCACCCCCATAGATGAGAACTTGACTAAGTTATATGCCATCCCGTATCGCTATGGTAAGAAATATAAAGGAGAAACAGGCCACCACCACCCCACCTTAAGGTAAGACTGCAAGAACATTGTAAAGTCGTAATATAAAGGGAAATAAAAAATCAGGCATAGCTGACCACATATGGAGTAAAAAGGACGCTCACCGCCCCCTGTGGAATGAGATTGAAATAATAGACAGAGAACATCACTGGAAAATACAAAAACTTAAGGAACAAAATAAAGGGTTCAGTTTGAAATTTCATTCACCTGAAGAAAGCCAGAGCGTATAACAGCCGAAACGTCACGAGGACAACAGTTTGAACAATGTAAATAGTGTTAATAAAGAAAGAAGATTTGCATTTTCCATGTTGTTAAACTTTGGGCCATCCACAGCTTCTTTTATATTTTTATTATTAATTTCTGTTCTTTATGTGGGATGCCAATGTAGCCATTAACTTATTTTTTTTTCACCACAGTAACGGACGTACCCTTGCGGCTGCTGGACGGTCTCGTTTCATCAATTTGTTTGCCCTTGACACTCGAACCCTTTTTCGCGTCATTGAGCTGCCGAATAAAGTAACTTTTGTGAAACAGCTTGTCTTTCTGCCAGAAAAGTTTGACAATGGCTCCAGCCAAGTAAGAACAAAAATATCTCTGAAAAGAACTTTTTTTTTTTTCTCCTTAAACATTTTAGTCTGGCACAAGACTACAATATTGTGGTCTTGTGCCACCTGGTGAGGATTAACACTTTGAGCTAACAGATGATCTGTGAAACAAATTTGTTAACCTTTACCCTACAAAATTCTTTCTAGAATTGTTCTCCCTGCCACTTCATTTTTTTTTTTTTTTTTGAGGGTGCAAAAACATGAACACCTACTGTTCTAAAATTGTTGTAACTTTCTTTGTATTGTGTGTATAGATTTTAATTTTTGTACATTAATAAAAAAAAAATGAGTAATATTTTGATGTAATGCATTACGTTTTGCATGAATGTTTTGACATTGAAAAACAAAAAAATTGAAATGCGAAATAAAGAATGCAAAATAAAAACAAATACATTAAAAAATATAAATAATTCAACATACTTTAACTTTTATTACTTCTTGCAGAGATCTGGGGGTGCAATAAGAAGCAAAATCGCTAAAAAGGCTTTTATTTTGATAAAAAAGTGATGCGTCTCCCTGTGTTTACATATGAGAAGACACTAGCATTTGTTTGCTCTTTCTTTTAACTGACTCATATTTATTTGTCTCTTTGACGAATGAAGTTATTATTTTTTCGTTTATAAATAGACAAAATAATTCACCATCAGAAAGACCATCAGATATATCGATGGTTGCCTGTAGCTTCCATAAAGTTACTCAGGCATGGATGATAGTAGTCGCTAGTGGCCATCGTCGCTTTCCTCCACATCACTAGCGTGGTTATCATTTCTGACCACTTCACCATCAATATCCACTCAAGTAAAGCCTTCAAAATCATCATCGGTGTGTTAATCAAAGAAAAACTCCTGAATAAAGTCTTTGTTGGATATTGATGTGGGCATTTTTGTTTACAAAAAATCGTGAAAAAATTAACGTGGGTTTAATCAGTGTTACACCTTGTGTAGAGTTTAGAAGAATTCAAAATGGTGTAAGAAAACAGAAGTTTAGCCTTGTTCCAAAGCAGTAGCAGGCGATTTATGGCTTAAAATACTGGAAATAACAGTTGAGAAGTGTTTATTTATAGCAACTGTCTCAGGTGACAGAATATGCCTAGAGTAGCAAAGGGAGAGAATTCATGTAGAGTGTAGAAGAATTCAAAATGGCATTGGAAAACAGAAGTTTAGCCTTGTTCCAAAGCAGTAGCAGGCAATTTCCGGCTTAAAATACTGGAAATAACAGTTGACAAGTGTTTATTTATAGCAACCGTCTCAGGTGACAGAATATGCCCAGAGTAGCAAAGGGAGAGAATTCTATGGCAACTATTGTCGCCTGTGGCGTGGTAAAGGTTAAGTAGTGATATACGATTATGCTCATTAAATGATCTGAGAGTGGAAGTATGATATTTTGATGAGGCATGACAGTTTAGAGCACTTAGGACCAACATTCTTACATATCTGCAATAAGTCTTGACCAGAAAAGTGTAGGCTAGGGTCTGTATTTGACTGTTCATGATTAAACTGGGAGAAATTCAAGCTCCATGAAAGAGGAACTATTTGACGAACTTGTTAAATCCAACCTGGGTCATCACTACAGGGAATGAACCCTGACACAGTTTATGTTCCCATTTTCTCGTTGTTGAAGCACATGAATAAACCAAAATGATTCCAATTCCAGTTGGGTTCATTATATTCACCTACACACAAATATCCTTGGGAAAAGTAAGAATCCATATCTTCTCCCTCCCCCCAGATATGGATTAATTAGTAAGATTTTTATCACTAAATCACTATAATCTCAAAAATAAAAAAAAAATTTTATAATTTAAAAATATTTTCTGCAAAGGGTTGATAAGCTGTAGAAAACAAATCAAATCTGAAATGTTTTTAGGTCATGCACACCTACAAATATATATATATATATATAAAAACAGACCACTTTAAGGTTCCATTATAATAATTTATTTCACCGAGCCCTTTTTTTTTTTAATTAGCTCTGGATTTACATTGAGCTCTCAGGATTTCATCCTCCTTGGGACTACCCATACGGATTACCAAGTTTTTCATAAATATATATATATATATATATATATATATATATAATTGAAATGAAATAGAAATCTATGCTACAAGGTCTAAGTTCCTATTCTGTCTGGCAACAACCCTTGGGTAACAGGAAAAGAGTATAAGCTGAAATGTGCAGCTGTTTGAAGTCATTTTTATGAGTCCTTCTGTATTTAAACTGAATATATATTTTCTAATAAATGTAATGTTTTAAATGGACAAACAATTTAGATTTGAAATTTGGTTATCTTGCCATCAGGTACTTAAGTAGTAACGACAAAAACAAGTTAGATTAATGTGATCAACACATGTCTGTACATATATAAAAGAGGTGTGCAGACATGTTTGTCAACACCAGTTACTTCCGGGTTTTCACCATTAGCAGCAAGACAGCTTGGCATGTCTAGTTACAGGCCTCTCTGCAACTGAAGATCTTTGTAAGATGCCTCATGATAACAAAAGGAACAGGAAAACCAGCAGGTAGAAGTTGGCAAGAAACAGTGTCCTGGGAAGCACTTTGTTCCTAAAGTTACTGTAGTAGTTTCCAAGGTTATGTTATTTTTGTTACTTCCCATCTCTTTCTCCCTATTACCCCCATAGAAGGTTTCTTTTACTATTCCAATGCATCTTCGTATTTCAGTATTACATTTTCTGTCCTGTTAAAATACTTCATAGTTTTTAAATTTTCATACCTGCTAGATTCTAACATCTTCACTTTGTAATTCCTGTCTTTGGCTGCCCCCTTTGCTAATAACCACACATTCTATCTTCTTATAATTAATATTTAGTCCTTTCTTCTCCCTTTCCTTTTGTTATGATATTTCAAGTAGGGACTACAGTTGTCTGCCTTCAGTATTGGTCCTATAGTCCAAGATCATTCCCATACCTTACATAGCACATATCACTAATTGGCATACACTAATATCACTAATTACACATATGCCAATTAGTGATAGCACTGACCAACCACTACTATATCTCCTTGAAAAAGGTTTTATGACCTTCATTGATCCCAAGCTTCTTTCTCTTTTTTGATTTCCTTCTCTCTATGGGAGATCTAGATCTGTCTCATTTGTTGTAGACATTTCATTCTTCTCAATCAATGCTTGAATCACCCAAACTGTCTAGGTCTTCCATTGATTCCTTATCAGAATGTTCCTCCTGCTGTCAACAATATATTCCATCTTCTTACAAGTGATATTTACCTTATTCTCTGGCTTACGAGACACACTTTTTTTCCTAAAAGATACCCTGAAAAATACAGGTGCCTCTTCTATGACGAATGTAAGGCAATGCCCAGGCTCAAGTAAACTTGGACAGTCACCTAATTGGCTTGACTGATAGGGATGTGTATTTGTATGTTGAATCATTACACTATAATGTTAGCTATCTTATGCAGCCTTTTATATGATGTAACCTCAGTACTTAGCTGTTACAATTATTTCCAGGACTATAAACCTTCCTGGGGCCAAGTCACAAGCTTAAACATGTTCTCTTTACTAGCAGTGGCAGGAGCCTTTCTGCTCTTGACTAGTATGTCATACAAACAAAATTGGACAAGTGATTAATGTAAACAATACGTGGCACCAGTATGTGAGGGAAGCATGGTGAGTGTGTTGTTGTATGAGAATGACCTTTGTTTTTTGACTTAGAAATTTCTTTTCAATATTACTATTAGTGTGTGTCTTCTAAGCTGGAAAATACATTAGTACTTCTTTCTCACTTTACTGCCTGTTCTAGGAGTTCTTGCAGTTTCCTTTCTCTGTCCACTATCAATATGATGTCATATCTTATGTTAAGATTGTGACTACCCATAAATCCTAATAAGATTTCTAGTTCTCTCAGGAATGCCTCACTATAAAGTTTGAAATAGTCTGGTGAGAAGACACGTCCTTGTCTTACAGCTCTTTTTATTTTGTGTATTTACTGAATTTATTTTCTGTCTGTATACAGGAGATTTACTTCCAGTACAATTTCTGCATTATTCTAATATCTTTCCCAAACAAGCTTTCCTAGCAGTTCAAATAGTTCTTTGTGTCTTACTTCATCAAAAACTTTTGCATAATCTATAAAACATAGGTATACATCCTTCTGCAGTCCGGGGAGAAGACTCATCCTTGTCTTATACCAACTTTCTATTTTTATGCATTTATTAAATTCATTTTCTATCCATATGCAGGTGGTTTGCTTCCAGTATAGGTTTTTCTATATCCTTCCTAAATATTTCAAGATTAGCCAGCAGTTCAAACAGTTCTTTGTGGTATACTTTAAATACTTTTACATAATCTATAAAACACAGGTACACATCCTTCTGCATTTGTATTGCTCTTTCTGATGTCATTCTGAGCATAAAGATTGCATTCCTTATTCTAGTGTCTTTAACAAAACCACACAGTTCTTGTCCTATTTCTGGTTTAATTCTGATGTACTCTTTATCCATTAGAATTTGGATAAGTTTTATTATATTGCTCATTAAGCTGATTGTCCAATGGAACTTGTATTCATTTGCTCCTGGCTTCTTAGGCAGTGCTATGAAAATGGATCTACTCAGGTCTTCCAGTATCTCACCACTGTTGTTTATTTCATTTATTATATCTGTAATAATGCTGAAATCATTCAAGACTGTGAGCATCTTAATTAGAATCTCATCTGGTCCTTCTGCCTTGTTCCTGTTAATCTGAGCCAGTGCTGATCTCGCATAATACGTTGATATTTCAGATCTTTTCATATTTTTGCATTATTTTTGTGTATTGCGTTTTACTGTCCCATCTTTGAAGTTTATTTTCTTTCTCTATTATCTGCATTCCCTCTTTTGATTTTATACATCCTGTCAATAAGCACGTCTTTTGTACTCTTATGTCTCTGTTTCTTTTATGCATATCTGCTCATTCTTTCTATTTCTGTACACTTTTCATTGAGTCATGTCTCTTTTGCTGGCTTGCATTTGTTTCTAATTTCTTTGTGTAATCTCTTCTGTAAAATAACAAGGATGTCTACTCAAACACCTGTATACACTAAAAATAGCATTTGAAGTAAGATTATATATATATATATATATATATATATATATATATATTTGAAGTAATACTTCTCCTCAGGATTATCCATACAGATTACCAAGATTTTCAATACTTATATATATAATTTTTTTTAAAATATTTTATCTCAAACTCATGGATCAATTCCTTAGTGCTGTTACAAAACTGATTAAGAAACACACCATAGTTTTGGTTATTTCTTTTATTTTCCCAATCAATCTCATCTGAGATTTTTATCAGCCGTTTTGTCCTATATTTGGGACTCATCAGCAGTGCCCATCCACTACTGAGAACTAAAACCAGAACAGTTACGAAATATAGAATGAAATGGCCATCCAGTGCTTTCTGCATTTTCTTGAGCTTTCTTCTAGACTCGATGAATTACTTAATTATCTCAAATCCTCCTTAATTTCTATCATTTGTATATCCTTGCTTGAACCGGCTTCTAATGCTCTGGATGGAGTGGCTTGGTGATAGTAGTCGTGGCTCTTGGAGGCACAGTCCTATGAGTAAAGGAAACTTGGATGAGTTCCACCACGGAATATGTGAACGAGTGGTGCAATATCGAGTCTAGTTCACTACCTCTTTGTCACCGAGGCCTGTTAGCACAGTTGGTATGACGTTTGACTGTCATTGTAACTGTCCGGGTTTCAATTCTCGGTAGTAGATGCGCACTGCTGATGAGTCCAAAATATAGGACAAAACAGCCGTCCAGTGCTTTCTGCATTCTGTTGAGGTTTCTTCTAAACTTGATGAATTAATATATATATATATATATATTATTATATATGGATGTGAGGTGTGTGTGTCTTTGGGTAGCAATCACTTTTTTATACACGTTTCATTGAAGACTAAAGAAAGCAACCTTTCAGTTTGGTTGCTGTGCACTAACTGAAATTGACTGCCACATTTGTCACTGCATGGAGTGATGTCACTACGCAACCATCATGTGACCTATGTGACTTATCTCCACCAAAGGGAGATAATTGCCTTCTGGGTCCCTACATCTAGAAATATGTTCCAGACAGTTTTTACACACTTTGTGCCCAGAAAAAAAATACTTGCAAGTTTTTATTTTACTTTTTCTTTCATTGTACTTTTTTTTTTTTTTTTTTTTTAGATTCTTGGTGCTCTCTGCCAAGATGGAATCGCACGCTTCATGAATATCACATCTTGTAAACTCCTCTTCGATGTGGGCACGCTGGAATCCCGTGTCCACTTTTTGGTAATCAGCCCTGGGGGCAAACACATGCTGGGTTTGATGGACTCAGGAGACATGAATATTTACAGTCTGGCCACTCTAACCTGTGAGGTGAACAAGGTAAAAATCTATGATTTTAATTTGTTATTCATCATGAACATACCATAAGGGATCATTTTTAATTGTACCTATCTACTATGTGACAGAGAGAGTTTGGGAAACACACACACACGTATATTTTTTTTTAGTGAAGTTGGGTGGATTTGAATAGCAAAATTAGATCAGAGCATTTTGTTTACTGATGAGGAAATTTGATCTAGGGCAGAAGTTGTACCCATTGAATCTTGGTCATCAGTAGACAATGGAAATGGTCGAAATAATCTACTGGTAACAAACCGTTTGTATATGGATAGAAAATGAATTGAGTAAATATAACAAAATAGAAAAGATGTGTCTTCCCACTGGATTTATTCCATCTATACAGTGAGGCAATTTGGAGAGAATTAGAAATCCAATAGAATGATAGGATAAAAAACAAATAGGAAACATTTATAAATCTGACATGTTTCAGTTTTATTAAAACTTCATCAGAGAATGATATATGGAGAAAGAAAGAAAGAAATTCTGGTAATTTTAGTTTTCAGTTCTTTGATTTTCATTTGTTAATCATGTCTCACATGCATTCAACTTGTCGAACCAACATTAGTATAATTTATGGCATTCCAAATTCAAGGAGAGGCGATACATCTATTCAAAGTTTTGAGAAATTAATGGATTTTAAGCCTAACTGACAAACCGTAAATATTCCTTTATGTATGTAAATGTATAATAATTCCAGTTTGTTTATATGGTATTATATGTATATTCGTAAGTGTGTGTGTGTGTGTGTATGTTTAGTAGATGTGTTGGGTTTTTTGTATGTTGATTTGGGAATGTTTTTACATACACACCATTTAAGTTTTAGATAAACATACATTAGTTTTTCTAAGAATGGATTCAATAAAGGTTGGCGTTAGATCCAGTGACAGGACCCAAAGAGTTGTAAGTTCAATACCTGGTTAAGGCAGTGGAGAACTTGGAGAGGGGAATTAACAAGAGATAACTGACATCCATCAAACATGGCACATGGAACTAGAACAGTCTACCCCAGCGAGCAAAATAAAGGGTTCAGTTCGACCTTCCAACCACCTGAAGAAGACTAAAGCATACAACGGCTGAAACGTTGTGATAAGTATGGCAACAAAGATGAGGACAATAGTCTGAATAATGTAAATAGTGTACATAATACCTCATCTCAGAAATATTGACAGATGTCCATTGAAAGTTTCAAGAATTTAATGGATTCCAAGCCTACCTGAAAAACCGCAAATGTTGCTTTTATATTAGTGTATAATAATTCTAGTTTGTCTCTGTGGGATTCAGATGATAATGTGTGTGTGTCTCGTAGACATGTTTGTTGGTTTTACGCATGTTGATTTGGGAATATTTTTACATACGCACCGTTTGTTTTAGATAAACATACGTAAGATTCTTTAAGAACAGATTCAATAAAGATTAGCGATATATTTGATGTATGTTTATAGTTGATAATATTGTTACTAGTAGGCTATCAAAGTACACATTATTTTATCAACAATTGAATAATATCTTTCTAGATTTTGGAGGTGAGTTATTTGCATTATTTATATTGACGATTGTCCTCATCTTTGTTGTTGTTATCAAAACGTTTCGGCCCTTCATCAGGTGATTGTTGACTGGGTAACATTCAGGGGATTTTATTTAATCTATGGGGGAGGAACTGGATAACAGAAAACAAACACAAGCCATGTCGTTAATGAGGAAATCGAATTAGCTTTAAAAGAAGTTAATAAAAAATATTTTGATGTAGACAAAAATACAAACATCATTAATTTAATATTGTATCTGGATCTAGGTATGGATAAGTATAAATAATATGAAAAAGTGATTAAAAACATAATTTGTGGGTACAAAGAATGATTAATGTATATAATAAATGTGTGTGTGTAGTAGACATTATGTTTGTTGGTTTTATGCATGTTGATTTGGGGACATTTTTACATACACACCGTTTGTTTTAGATAAACATATGTAAGATTCTTTAAGAATGGATTTAATAAAAGTTTGTGATGCAATGATTTTGATGTGTGTTTAGCATTAGTTAAATTTTTATAAGTAGGCCCTCGAAGTACTTTTGACATAAAGAATTTGTTTTTTTTTTTAATTAGGGTGGAATTTAATTTCATTAACTGATTGTTTTATTTTTCTTTAATGTTTCTAGCCACCACCACCTGTTGTAAAAGCGGTTAGAGGTTGCTCGATTTTAGAAGACTCTGAAAATAGTCAGTTACTGAGTAAAAGTTCCAGAAAAACATTTTCTTCTGAGGTGAGTTGAATTTTTCCTTTCTTTTTTCTTTTTTTCCTCTAAAAAAAAAAATGCTACATCTGAGAAGACATGCATGTTATATTTAGAATGAATGATACACCATCTTGATCACCTTGTCCGACCAGAAGAGATGGATGCGAAAGTGAATGCAACAAGTTTTGCTGGAAGTTGGCTTTGTAATTCAGCAATGATAATTTTTATGTAATGCGCACAGCCTGAATGATGCATGTATGTGGAAATACTTCTGAATAGAAGAGAATTTGACAATACAGATAATGTCAGAGAATTATCCCCACGATTGTTTTCGAAAAAGCTGAGAAAGATATAAAAGTCTAGGAAAGAAGTCAAGTTGTAAACAAAAGCTGGCAATTAAAATACCACACTCTGATAAATGACCTCACATTGAGATACTATTTCAATAAAATACTATACTCTGATAAATGACCTCACATTGACCAACTAATTCAATAAAATATCATACTCCGATAAATGACCTTGCATTCACTGATTATTTCAGTAAAATACCATACTTAGGTATATAGTCAAATCTATTGACATAATACATGCAGTTTAATAAATAAAAAAACATTGAGTGTCTATTTCAAATACAAAGTTTCAAATACAATTTATATAAAGAATTTATACAAAGAATTAAGATTTCACCATTAATCACATTAACATTGCTATTTAATTCCTTGTATAAATTGATTCTTTATTATATAAAATATAAGCTGCATACTCTAATATATTTACGACATCAGATCAACAGCACAGTAATAATCAGAATCTTAAATTCTGTGGAAAACTACTAAGACATTTTTACTCTACTAATTGGATTATACTAAGTCTATTTAAATTTAACAGATAAATACATATAACAAGAAAATTTTGTGGATTTATAACTTTTCAAAATTAAACAAAATTTTCACTTGATCAATTTGAACAAGAACTCTAGTGTCATGGCATTGCACACTCTAAAGCATATATTCAACTGTCAAGAAATAGCATAATTTAAAAAGACATCTTTCGGCCTACACATATTTCATCTTAGTGTTTGCCTATGTATTGGAAAAATTGCTCCCTGAAGATGACAATTTGAAATTGTTGAAAGTACTTAGTGTAAGAACTTGAATATATTATTCAAGGAATTGATAGTAAGTTAATGTCTCATTAAATTCTGTTAGCAAAGTGATTTTGCCATTAATCAGATTAACATTGCTATTTAATTCTTTATAAAAATTGTTGCTTTATTTTATGCATATATATATATATATATATATATATATATATATATATATATATATATATATATAGTGTGTGTGTCCATAAAGTTCGTGTGCATTTTAAGAAATTTATAACTTTTACGTCCATAAGACCTTTATGGACACCTGTGTGTGTGTGTGTGTGTGTATATATATATATATATATATATTATATTATATTATATATATATTATATATATATATATATATTATATATATATATATTATATTATATTATATATATATATATTATATTATATATATATTATATTATATTATATATATATATATATATATATATATTATATTATATTATATATATATATATTATATTATATTATATATATATATATATTATATTATATATATATATATATATATATATATATATTATATTATATTATATATATGAGAGAGAGAGATATCCACATATCTGAACATTTGTAAATTCATATTTAAATATCCAACACATTGACTAATATTGTCCAGGAATGGTTCTTTTCAAACAATTTTTATTTCTTGATCCCAAGTCTATGTTTTAGGCAGAAATGCAGTTAACATAAATGAGAGAAAAATTTCTTTTTTAAAGCAAGAGAAAAACCAAGCTAGGTGTTTCAGTTTACTCCAGCAGTGCGTGCCACAAACATCGAATAGATTCTGGATTTTATAGATTATATTTTTTATTTGGAACCCATGGCTAAGTTCTGAAAATCAAACACAGGTGGAAAGATATTTGTGGATGAGGAAAATTACAGCTACCACTACCATAAGAAAAATGCCGATGGAACAAAAACATATTGACAATGTGTAGAGCGATCTTTTCTGTTTAAAGAAAAATAAACTTTTAATTTTTTTATTTTATTCCCTTTTTTAAAAATTTATGATGACTACCTATGCTTTTTTTCAAAATTTATGGTTATTGCCTTTAAAAGCTTCCAAAAGTTATCAGAGGTATGCAATTATCCAGGGATGCAATTATCTGGTATGCAATTGTCCAAGGATGCAATTGTCCAAGTATGCAATTATCCAGGGATGCAATTATCTAGGGATGCAATTATCCAGGGATGCAATTGTCCAAGGATGCAATTATCTAGGGATGCAATTATCCAAGGATGCACTTATCCAGGGATGCAACTGTCCTGGGATGCAATTGTCCTAGAATCATACTTAAGCTTGATTAATATGAGCAAACAATAACTGAGCAACACTAAAACAAAAACCATAAGAACTAAACAATATATCCCTAGACATGGGCAGTGGAATGAGAACATTCTACCCCTCGTAGATTAAATAAAGGGTTCAGTTCAGAATTCCCTGTAGGTGACCCAGCTCAATATACAAATGAGGAAGGTCGAAGGACACAACAACTAAAATGATGTATTAACCCCAATTGTGTCCAAAGTGTCAGTAAGATAACAAACATCTGGAATTGAGTTAATCTGTCATTGCGTTTTAAACAAAAATAAACTTTTAATTTTTTTTAATTTTGTTCCTTTTTTTTAAAAATTTATGGAAATTACCTTTAAAAGCTTCAAAAAATTATCAGAGGTACATAATTATCCAGGGTTGCATTTGTCTAGGGATGCAAATGTCCAGGGACAAAATTGTCTGGTATGCAGTTGTCCAGGGTGCAAATGTCCTGTACGTAACAGTCCTAGAACCAAGATTGACTTGAAGTTTTACACACAGCCTTTTTCTTATAAGCAATGGAAATATATATCTAATATATGAGTACATTTTTGGTGTGCTAAATTCCATTAGAAAGTGAACATTAAATGATAGGGAATATGAGGTTCTATTCTAATTTCATTAAATGTGCCTTTCATTGGCTTTTTTTCCTTTCCAGGAAAATGTGTTTGAAGATGGCATTGACAAAGAACGTTTATATCGAATTCTACTCGGTCATGGTGAATATCCATCAAAATACAGGTGAGCATTTTCTTCATATCAGGTGATCTTTATTTTTTACCGTTTTTCAGTTGACTTAGAGCCTGAGTTTCCATTAGTAGATTATTGTAAAGCTGACTATTAGGTCTTGATTTTAATACCTCCAAAGAAAGGTCTGTTATGTAATCAATCCTGACCTAATATCATGACTTCAGTTACTTTCCCGTTGCCATGACGTGACTTCCCTTTGTCTTTCTATAATTATTTCCATGGCAGTTATTGCCTCATTTGCATGAATTTAAGCATGCTACTAAATTAGCAAGTAAGGTTCTATAGTTGAACTAGCTAGATGCAATCATATATTCTATTCTGATAATATCTTTTCTTGCATTTTTCACCCGTGGACCTCTCTTTCAGTTCCTTGCTTCCCTGCTACCTACAATCTTCAAAAATTTAAATGCAATGTCACAAACACACAAAGGATTACTGAGAGTGAAAGAAATGCTACTCATGAGAAAGGACTATAAAAGAATGGGAATGAGGAAGACAGAAGATGACGATTGATATTGCATTTAAACTTTTGAATGTCATAGATGGCAGTGAAGCAAAAAACTGGAACAGATTTCCATGTGCGACAAAAGAAACTATTAGAATAGAACTTACGGTTACATCTCACTATTTTAACAGTAAAACGACGGGACCTAATTGCCAATCTAGTAGTAAGCTTAAATTCCTGTGGTTGAGGCACCAGGGATGAAAGCTTCTTAGAATACTTACCATGAAATTATTTACAGAAAAGTCACAGTGATGGGAAAGTGACAAAAGTCGAAATGACAGGACAGTGTTTTCCTGTGTATAATACAACTAGAGTATAATACAATCCCCAAAATACAGCCATCCCTAAGTCAATTTCTTTTTGAAAATTGTACTATATCATCCATTAAAATCTTGATGTACATTTATTTCACTAAAATATTTTAACTTTTCACTATATTAAAGAATAGAAATAAACTCAATTTTTAGACATTGCAAGTTTCTTCTAATTTATTTTTCAAAACTAATTTTCAGATTTTTGGGAAAAGGTGCTAACTAGACATTCCCGTTAATTAATTAATCTATCATACCTTTCTGTTTGATATGACTATTATTATACAGGGTGTCCATAAAGTTCGGGTGCACTTTAACAAATTTATAACTTTATTTGTATTTGCAATAGAAATAATTTATAAAAAAGATTAGAAAAAGTAAAGCTATATTTTTTAAGGTTTTATTAAAATTTTATTTAAGTTTCCACATGTCCTCCATCATTAGCAATACAAAGGATAATATGATTTTGCAGTTCGCGGAATACATTTGCCAACTGATTTACAGTAATGCCTGAAATCACATTAGTTATTTTAGCTATACTTAAAAGTAGGTACATTAAACTTTATAACATTTTTTACAGATTATTTCTATTGCAAATACAAATAAAGTTATAAATTTTTTTAAAGTGCACACGAACTTTATGGACACTGTGTGTGTGTGTATATATATATATATATATATATGGGGTGGGGGGGTATGTATACGTATAGTAGCAAATATGTCTGAACATGTAAATATACATATATATATGTATGTATGAAGATATGTATGCATATAAAGTCTTTCATGAAAAATGAAGAGAGAAACAAATATGGCTAACATATCAAATATCTATTTACATTATTTGGACTATTACCCTCATCATTGTACACTCTGGTTTTCTTCAAGGACCCATGTCCTAGTAGATAAGTGTTGGTTGGATCCAATGACTTTAATCACTGTGTTCAGAGTTCAATACCTGGCTACAGAGTCTTGAACAAAAAAACTTGGGGAGTTGAGTTAAAGGGAGATAACTGTGACATCCGGAAAAGGTATGGCACATGGAACTAAAACAATCTTCCAATCACCTGGAGATGGCCTGAGTGTACAACTGCCGAAACATTGTGCATATGGCAATAAGATGAGGACAACAGTCCAAACAATGTAAATAGTGTAAATAGTTACAATACCTTATATCAGAGATAAAGACAGATATCAAATACTTTTTCTAAACAGAGTCTGTCTATATTTCTGAGATGAGGTATTATGTACATTATTTACATTATTCGGACTATTGTCCTCATCTTTGTCGCCATATTTATCACAACGTTTCAGAGGGAAATTAACAGGAGATAACTGATAACTGACATCCATCAAAACATGGCATGTGGAACTAGAACAGTCTACCCCAGTGAGCGAAATAAAGGGTTCAGTTCGACATTCCAACCAC